TTATCTGATTTTCAGGTATATACAGGCAAAGAAAAGAAAACACCGGAACGTGGGTTAGGCGCCAGAGTTGTTCGGGATTTAACTTGGGACTTAGAAGGAAGAAATCACAATGTTTACATGGACAATTTCTTCTCAAGTACCGGGTTATTCCTTGAACGACGAAAGAAAGGTGTGATGTGCTGTGGAACGACCAGGCAGAACAGAATTGGGTGGCCTCGAGGACTTCGTGGCAAGAAAGTGGTTCGACGTCGTGGTCAAAGCAAGTCGTTGCAGTGTGGGTCACTTTTAGCATCTGTATGGTTCGATAAGAAACAGGTTTGCTTCTTGTCTACGTGTTCCAATCCTACTGTTTCCTCAACAGTGAAACGTAAGGGTCGCGACGGTAATAGCCTGGAAGTAGAGTGCCCTTCGGTTGTGCCGCAGTATACGAAGTTCATGGGTGGAGTGGATAGGGCTGATCAACTTAGATCTTCCTATCCTACGAAGAGAAAGAGCCGAAAGTGGTGGAAATACCTATTTTGGTTCCTGTTCGACACCGCAGCTGTTAATGCTTTCATCTGCATGTCGGAGTCTGCCAACCACGTCCAGAAAACCAGCACTGGGAAAAAAAAGGTAAGGACTCAGTTCCAATTTCGTAGTCAATTAGTCGTACAACTAATTTCTACATATCGTGGGGGTCGGAAATGGCCTTTCTATTCGAATATGGGCGAGAAACATACGAAGCATTACCCAGTGGAGCTACCTAAACGTAGGAGATGTCGAGGATGTTCTAAGCTGGGGAAGACAAAAACTACATTAATCGGCTGCGATCGATGCAAGGTAAGTGTGTGAGATTACAACGCCTCTGATCGAATTCTTTTACTCATTGATAACATTTGTTATATAATTATTAACAGATTGGATTATGCCTGAAATGTTTCAAGCCTTACCACTTGGACTTAGATGGAGAACCGGATGTCTGATACATTAATTTATAGTTGATTAAACTACTACTGTTTGCTGTGTTACGTAAAACTATACTATATATTGGCATTTAGCTAAGATTGTAAGTTGTTAATTGCAGTAGCACTACTTGTTGGTACTAATGGTTGATATGTAAAA